TGCTGAGTGAACATCTCACAGTGAGGGCAGAACTCAGAGCTTCCCCTTCTCAGGGCTGTTGCATGTCTCCCCCTCCTTCCTGTGTCCCAGGGACAGATGTTTCCCAACCTACCTCTCCGGGGGTTCCTAAGTTCCACCCGACTTCTCACCAGCTCTTCCTGCTTTGGTAATAGGAAGGAGAAAAGGCCAGGGCAGGAAACCATCAGAACTGATTGGCCAAGTGCTTGTGAACTCTGTTGTAACTATTCCCCACCTCCCCGTGATTCCCTCTGCGCTTCCCTCCCTCTCCCCTTCCCACAGGCTGGCTGGCTCAGGGCTGTCCTGAGCCTTCAGGAGCTCTTCCATGGTCCCAGGCCTTGATCCCCGGAGGCAGGAGCTTAGGGGCATCCAGTCCTTGTGTGAGGAGGCCTCCAGCCAGCAGGAAGCAGGAGCCATAGCCCCGGATGGCATTGTCTCTGCTGCTCAGCAAACCCAGAGCCTAGAGAACCCGGGCCAAGTTCATGGACAGGGCAGAAAAAGGCTGCTCCCAGGGCTGGTGCAGATGGCGGCCACCTGCCCCTCTGCATAGGCCCAGAACAGGCAGGCACCTGTCTAGCTCATGCAGCCTGTCTCCTGAAACGGGTCAAGGAAGGACTGGGGCTGGAATCCAGGTTCCTGCCCCCAGAGTCAATTCCCTTCACCTCGGCCCACAGTGAAGACTGTGATTAGTTGGTGACAGGGGACAGTATGGCAAGGCCTGGCCCCAGCTCAGGCAGAGGGTTCCATCACCAGTCTCAGGGAGGTCAGAGGGGTGGGTCACAGTCAGCCAGTCTGGATGGCTCTGGGGGGGGAGCACTGGGATGGGCAGAACCTTCCGAAGCTTCTTTCTGGAACCACTAGAGAGAAGTGCCTTGGGTGAGTGATTCATCTGTGCATGCCTCAGTTTCCTCACCTGGAAAATGAGGTAAGGATTGAATGTGAAAACACGTTTCAGAACATCAACTGACTTCTGTGTTTAATAAATGTTAGCTACTCTTCTAATCATCGCCATCGCATTCCCTCCCCCAAGGCAGGAGATCAATCTTACCAGGGTGTGGAGGCCTGAGGCCAGCTCCGGGGACAATTAAGCTGTCCTGTGCCTGGGGACAAGAGGGCTCACTGTCTAAGCCCAGCACTGCCGGCCCTGGCAACCGATCAGACAGATTGGGGGCCGACTTGGCCGGACAGATGGGGCAGCCCAGGCTGGACTGAACACACAGGAGTGGGAGGCTACCAGGGCAGGTGCAGTCTCTGCTTGGCACTGTGCTGAGAACTCTTAGGCTGGGCCAAGCCTAGTGAGGATGAACCATGTCTGGATATATGTGTGGCCAGGGTGGAATGGAGATCTGATTTTTCAATTATCCCTTGTCAAAGTCACCTCCATTTTTCTTTTATCTCTTTGCTTTTCAACTCCCTGAGGAGGGCTGGGGTGGGTGAGGGTGGCACTCATAACCACAGGGCCAGGCTGATACAGAAACCCTCTCCAAGAACTGACCAAGGGGTGTCATGTGCTACACACTCTTCATATGAGACAACTGAGCCTTCTGGAGGATGGTGTCCTACCCAGAGTTGCACAGCTTAGGGGATCGGCCATGTTGCAGCTATGAATTTCCCCAGCTGGTGTGGGTGGCCCTGCCTTGAAAGCTCTCCTGACCTTCCATGGCCAAGGCCAAGTCTTCCCAGCTGGTTCCAGGCCTCAACTTACTGTGTGTCCCTATCCAAGACCCCCTTTCTGGACCCTGGGCCCTTGGCTACAAAAATCCGGTTGGCCCAGTGCTGGTGGAGAGCTTCGTGGCTTGGACTCTCTCTGGATGCTACAATCACACCCACTTTCAATGTCCCAGACAGGTGTCTGGCAGGGAGGCCTCCATCCTGTCCTTTGTCACCTTCCAAACTGCTGTCCGGACCTAGAACACTATTTAAAGAGACATCCCTGAACTGCCCCAGCCCTGCTGCAGCGCGAGGGAGCACTCCAGACCATGGTAGGCTAGGGCTGCCCTGCCTCCTGACCCTGACCTCATCCTGTGACCTTGACTTCATTTGTGATTCTGACCTTCGCCTCATTGCCTGAACTCACCCTGACCCTGCTCCTCTCATTGACATCCTTGCCCTTGACCTGATATCCCTGATCCTGACCTTTCCTTCACCTTTGATGTCAGGCCTATACCTGGCCCATCCTGGGCTGCCCTTGATGGGTGGCCAGTTCATCCACGTGGGTCCTGATTTGGGTCTGCTTTCCTGGATTGGGTGGGGGCTGCTGAGGTGAAGGAGAGATGAAGAAGAGAAAGGTGGAGGGAGGCAGGGTGGGCCAGGCTTAGACTTTTCAAGGGAGAAGTGGGGCTCTGCTCCTATTGAGAGGACATGACTCCTATGCGGGTCGAGTTGGGATTCCAGGACAGCCTGGGTCCTCTGGAACCTTGTGTGGGGCCTGCCAGCCTTGCTTTGAGCTCCTTCAGCCCATGTGAGGCCTGCCCTGCTATCTTCCCTTGCCCCTGTGCTCCAGCCCCTTGGGTCTCCCTGCAGACTCTCAAGGGCACTGTTCATTCAGGCCTGACTCCTGCACCCTCATCAGTCCCACTTGGCCTGAGAACTCTGACTGGGTTGTCAAGCCCCAGCTCAGAAGCCATCTCCTCTGGGAAGCCTGCCCTGAGAGCCCCAGTGGTAGAGGGCTTCTCTGTGTTCTCAGCACCTGTCCCTCCCTTCCACCTCTATTGATTGTCTGCTCCCAGCTGGACTGTGGGCTCCTTGGGGACAAGGATGGAGCCTAATTCAGCTCTGGGTCCCTGGGTCTGGGCACAGGGCCTGGCTGGAGATAAGCAGGTACCTAATGAATGTCCTGATGCCTTGAGATAGGCACAAATAGGGAAACAGGCTTAGAGCTTGTAACTGAATTTCTTAACATCACAGAGGCTGTGAATAGCACAGGCAGGATTGGAACTCAGGTCTGGGCTACCCCCTTCTGCCCTGAGGTGTTCTTTTCAGGGGATTTTTATTTTTTAGGGGAACACTATAAAAGGGAATTCCCCAGGCAGCTGGGTTGCAAAGAGTCCAGGCTGGGAGAGCAGAAGATCCTAAGCCTCAGTTTCCCCCTATGCAGTCCTCCTTTTGGGGGTTCTGGAACAGGGCCTGGCACACAGTAGGGCAATGTTCCACAAGATGGTCGTAGAAGGCTGGGATGAGGCAGGAATGGGTGATGCCGAGGCCAAGGGCAGGTCTGAGGAGAGAAAGGGCAGAATATGCCACAGACGGAAGTGATCGTTTTTATTAATCAGAGGGAAATGTATATGTAATTATGTGAGATGAACTCTGCAGGGAGGTTCTTTTCTTTATGATGTCTGAAGGGATTTATAAATATTACAGAGGTTTTACGGCATCATAATGTCCTGGCTGCCCTGCCAGCCCCCCTTTCAAAGGATTAGTGGAGACAAAGCACCCAGTAAAAGCTAATTATAAGTCAGCCGAGCTGCTGCTCCTGAAGTGAGCCCAGGCGCCAGAGGGAAGTGGGGGCGAGTGCAGGGGTGGGGGAAGTTGGGTGGTGGGATAGGA